GGCGCAGCCCGCGGCGTTCACCGCTCCCCGCCAGCCGCCTCCATCTTCCCGCCGGGGACAATAACCACCTGCCCGGCCCCGCTTCCCGGCCCAGCCCAGGCAGGAGGCAGCTCCTTCGGCGGGGCTGGAGGAGCCGGCCGCCTCCGCAAGGCTCGGGATCACCCCCGGAGCCTCCTCTCAGGTCGCCCCAGCTTGCGACACCTCCGTTCCTCATCCCCCGCAGAGCAGCAGGAGCGCGGTCCCCTGTCCCCCGAGAGGGCTGGGAGGGGATGGACACCATCTGTCCAGGGCTGGGCAGGGGGAATGGAATAAGCGGCTGCAGAGGGAGAGCAGATGGCATCCAACAGCGTGGGCTTTCTGCTCTTTGTGTTTTTTTAAATAGTCCAGGGGAATCTGTGGTAACCATCTCACCGAGGGTGGATAAAACCCAGCAGAGCCTCTGGCCATTCGCTGTGGTCACGTCTTGGCAAGACTGCCATGAGAACCTGGAAGAAAACAAACAGGGACTTTTGCAATATTACTCAGTGCTGTAGATAGAGATGACTAGCAGGTCCATCCTTTTTTTTTTTTTTTGTGTGTGTGTGTGAGTTTGCAGCAAAACCTTTCCTGCAGCACCTGTTTACCTGTTTTCTGTAAGTTAATTCATTCTAGGGGTGTTCAGTGCACACAGCCTCTGTATGCAAATATACTGTGACTGTCATTTCCTCTTCAAGGGTAAAGATGCATTTCTGCTCTTTGCCATTCCAGAGAATCCATCCTGAAATAATTTATTTTATAGTCGTATTAGTCACGTCAGTAAAGACTACTTGATTCATTAAAGGCCTCAGAATTGATTTTGAGCTGAAAGTATTGTAAGCTGAACACAGTTACTGGTGATACACAGTTAGCATTAATAATTTTCAACACAGCAGCATATGTTGATTTTTCCTTTGGGCCTTTTTATACCACCCTGATTTTACAATAATCAATTTGGAGATGCCCATCCATATTAATCAATGACTGGCCATGTTAATGCCCAGAGTCCTTTATCCAGCCACAGCTGTCTGCACACAGAGAAAATGTTCTACTGTCAAGCATCAAAGCTTAAGTATCATCCCAGGGAATACACACATGGAGCAGAAAACCTACGTGGAGTCTTTTTCAAATCATTTTGCTTAAGTGATCCTCTGCTCCTGTAATCATGTTGTTACAGCAGGTACCAGCCTGGCTAGTTTGTAGGGATGGGGGAGAGGGTTAAGCTTTATGATCCTACAAATGTCTTGCTAGTCTATATATTAGCCAGACATGCAAAAAACAGAATTCAGGTTGAATAAATAAATATAAATCTGAAATCTATGTGTTCTATTCTTAATTCTACCACTAAAGTTCTTGTGAGTATTCCTTGTATGTAACATTTGGACATCTACAAAGCACCATGTTACTGAGATACGTAACTAAGTCTCCAGTTTTTTCACTGTTAGATATTATATTCTGACAGTCTAGAGGCTCCCCTCAAAGACTGGGCTTTCCTCCGTGGGGTCCTATATACAAGTTATTAAATAAGCAGCCTTTGGGAGTTGATGAATGAGCCTACAATTCAGTGCATTAAACACAAATCTGGACATGGATTTGGTCCCGTGCATGCACAACACAAGTCAGGATTAGGGCTGTAGGAAGTGAAGACACATGCTGCTTTATCAACCTACGATCCAAAGTCTGATCTTCAGAGATGCCTTTATGTGCCAGACATAAACATCACACCTACTGGAGATGGTTTAACTGAATCCAGAAGAGAAGGTTCCAGATTCAGCTGATCACGCTGTTCAGTTTGAAAGTCATAGAGTTGTAAGGGTAACAGTGCAGAAAATTTGTCTAGGATCCTTCCTTCCATTACAGGCAATAGAACAGCGTGTCTTAAGCAGACAGCCAAAGGGCACGTACTGGCGGTGCCCACTGAGCATTGGTACACAGACCCTGACCTCCCATCTATTGACAGGTGTTTTTTCCTGCAAGGAACATCTCCCTTTCAATTATTAACTGGCTGTTCAGTATGCCATGTTAAATGCATGTCATAATGGGAGAATACATGGAACTGTAAAACATGGTGCTACAACACAGATTACATTATCACTCAATAATAACCCAGGTATCCGCTAGGCTCAGGGGGTGGTTACACAAAGATTGTGTCTCACTGACAAGAGTAAATGAAAAAAAAAAAAAAAAGTTCAAGGTAAGAAAATGACCCAGAAAATACCGTGCAATACAGACTACCATCAGTGGAGTTGCTGGATCATCACTGTAAGCCAACCTGCATTACACCTCTGTATGATTAGATCAGGGTTATGAAATTTCTTGGCAGATAATAAGACAGACCATGTGAATGATTTTTATTCAGGAGCTGGATTGCATTAGATAGCCATGTTTTTGCTGGACTATATGAATTTGTTCCAGGGACCAGATCAGACGTGCAGATAACCACAGATTTCTTGTTTCCAGTACATGATGGGACTGTGCAGTTGTATGTTTTAATTTCAGCTTGGTATGCAACGCTTGGTGAAGCCACATAGCTTTCAAAAATCCAAGTTTCTCAGTGCCTATGACAGCACCAAGATACTGTGGTGCTCACAATTTCCTCTGCAATCCGCAAGGATGGTGTTATTACTCATCCATTTCACTAGGATATAACTAGTTCTCACCATAATGTCTTTAAACCTCCCAAACTCCTTGGAGAAAAAGGCATATGGAGCTTTAAAGTACTTTTCCCTCCTGCTTTTGGGGCCTATCTGTTGAAAGAATGAGTCAGGCTTCACCAGCCCTGCTCTCAACAGCCGATATTAATTACTGGAATTACACTGTTTTCCATGTCTGTTTTATCTGGAGAAAGACTGTATTCACACATATGAAAGCAGTAGCACACAACATTCCAAAGCAAACTGACCTGTGCATTAAGGGATATTTGCACCCATTCTTTGTTCTATTGCTCTGGAAACCTATTCCTGATATTTCTTGATTGGCAGGACAGGCCCACAGGATATAAACTAAGATACTGTGACTTTCAGGTAAAATATATTCCAGGAGCTATTCTGCATCATCTCACTGGATGTGGAAAGTGCAGACAACTCACCTTAGTTGCTGTTGAAATACTAATTTAAACTCACATCCATGCCCAGATCCCTTTCCTTGTGGACTATAGCATCAGTTGATTTATTATGTATATTCTGGCTTCTGAATAATCACACTAAAGATAAACCTGACCCAGTGTCTCATACACAGTAGATTTACCATCTTTTAGCCCTTTTTAAGGGATTCACAGACCAGTTCAGCAAATTATCTGTTTCAGAACAGAAAAGGAAGCATTTTACTATGTTATTCTACAGAGAAAAACTCTATTTGAAAAATTTAAAATAAAGTTTGTTTTTCTTTCAGATAGCTTTTCCAATCAATAGGAATATTAGTGAGAAACCTTTTCTATCTGAGCAACCAATACCACAAGAGATCAATGATGTTACTATGGTATCATTGTTACTACAGTAGCATTTAAGTACCTATAAAATAGATACTAATCATTTCTATCTCTATAGGCAGCTTTACATAGTCATGTAAATTTAAGAGGCTAATTTTAATTAAGTTTTTTAACTATCTGTCAGCTGTATAACCTATTCTATATTGATGCAGACAGTGACAATCCTAGCCCTGATTCTTCCTGGAATTTATATTCTAACCTCTGCTTGTAAATATTTGATTTGAATTTTTACCTGTGTTTATAAACATTTTTTAAGAACCCAAAGGACGGGGAGTATCCACTTCATGACACACTGTGAAATGACCTGAACATTCACAACTCTACCTGGAGTGAACGGAAACAGTTTGCAGATAACTAGGAGAATTGTAAGCTAATTGTATTCCACGTTTTTGCCTCTCTTTTTTTTTCCCACTGAGGACTAGATGTGTTATTTTTGCAAGGGCAAGGAATGAGGGACAGAATCCAGCACTCAAGTGTCTATTTCTAATTATGCTAACTAAACTGGGAGTTCTATTTGCATGAGGTGACAAAATCAGCGTACAAAACTGTCGTTATGTTGATAGCCATACATAGAAACACACATAGTTATGCCCACATGCATTTTTAGGGATTCACATTAAAGTACACCCAGAAATATTTATAGCACCTGGGGGAAGGGGGGAGAAATCGTTCATCTTTCTTGTTTTTCTTTGCTTATTCTTAAGTTTTTCCACCAAGGCAGAAATAAATAGATTTTCCCTGTCCACTCTAGTTTATAAAATTCCTTTTTATTTCACAGACATGGCAGCTTTTCAGTATTTCCCATGAAGGATGAGCACATAGTTGTTTTTCCTCCTATAACGGCTACACGCTGCTGCATAAGTCACAGGTGGGAGGTATAACAGAATCAAAAGCCTGTTTGCTGCTAACATCCTTGCAACTCAGTTTCTTGCTGGAGAGAAAATGGAAGGCTTTAGGAGTGGTTCTGAGTGCCTGCAGTTCTCTTTCTCGTCAGTGGGAGGTGTAGGTTTCTAAGCTTCTTAGAAACCAAGCCTCACTGTCTCTGATGCTCGAGTTCGTGTCTCTCTGGGCTGAGTGATTACAATTGCTGCAGAAGGGTTTAGATAGACTCCGCGATATTAATGAGTTCTTGTAGGGGTAACGCTGCAGCAGATGCTGTGGTCTCCTTTGCTTACAAGCATCTCTGCAAGACACAAAGCAGGAGCACATTTTGTGCATCTTACAGTTTTACACTAATATTGATCCTCTGAGAAATCTATGTATAATTTGCCAGCATTTCTGCAGGCTTTTACCACTTCCACCACTTCTTT